ACATCTTGGTAGGCGGCCAGTGATTCCTGATACTTGGCCAGCGAGAAAAGCGCCCGCGCCTTGCCCATCGAGGCCAGCATGTTCTTCCCGTGCGACACCCTGATGGCCTCCTCGAATGACTTGAGCGCATTGCGCACATGTTCGCTCTTCTGGACGTCGACACCGTTGGGGTCCTGACTGGGACTTTGAAGGGAGGCCTTGAGCAGAAGAAGAACACCGCGGGCCAAGAACAGCGGTGGGAAAGCGGGGTTGAGCCTCGAGGCGTCGTTCAAGCTCTGTGTGGCCTGCTGCAAGTAGTACTCCTTCGTCCTCGCGTCGGTGCCCTCGGGGGCGACTCTTGGGGCCTCTCTGCTCTTCCACAGGTACATCCAGCACAGACAGGTGATAACTGTCAGTTTTTCGCGCTGATTGCTCTGCATGGCAACTACACCGCGGCTGAGTATCTCAATGGCAAAGTCGACCTTTTTCTGCTTGGCATAGGCAAGAGCCACCGTCATCCAGTAGGTGCGGGCAGCATGCTCCATCTCGAGAAGGGTGCACAGTTCGGTCGGGTCATCGGCGAGCTCTTCAAGGTTTACTTCGACGGCCTGGGGGTCCTCATCTTGGTCTTGGGCCGAGTCTTGTACGGGAATATCGATCGTTTGAGGGATGTCGGCAAAGCGCCTGCTTGTAGGGGCATGGGTAGCCAGTCCGTTGGCGGCCCCATTGAGGGAGCCATTGGCGTAGGTTGAAGCCATTCTGGCTGTCGTGATGGCGCCGCAGAACTCGAGTGTTCACTGGTGGACTTCGAATGACAGAAGCCGAGGTGCTGCGGGTCGATTGTTGATGGCCTCGAATCGGCGGCGCGTTTGGTTGATAAAATCGACGGGCTAGTTGGGTGTTGGGTTTTGCATCGATTGGTTGTAGAAAATATCGTCAACTGGCTTACGATGGGTCGAATTAAAGTTGGAATATGAAAAATCTCATGGTGGAAAGATCCAAGCGGCGCAGGGTCGGTTGCGACAAGGTTTGGTTGAAGGTGGGTGATGGTGGAATTGGAAGCTCGCGGTGGCAGCGCCGATTGTCGCGTCACGACGAGACGAGCAGCAATTGATGAGGCTGAAAGGCTTGGGGCGGCTGACCCATGCAAAGAATTTGAGATGCTGCAGATCCCGGCACTTTCAAGGCATTTCTATTGGCTGCTATCTGTGGGTCTTTTGGAGAAAACCACCCCTGAACAACAAGGCTGCCACCAAAAGTACCATCATCGACCCCCTCACCTGTTCCAAGTCGAGGACAAGAAAAAGGTCTAAATTTGTGTTTTTTATTTTCTTTTTTCGACTTCTATACTCATTCACTATCTTTGACATCTCTGCGGCGCTGTGTCTGATGAAGAAATCTTTGTTTTGCACCCACACATGCTAGCTTTGTTGACCTCGTTCTAACTCTCATCAGATATTGACCGCACTTTTTCCTACCATCCGTATCATAGATGAATTTAATCTTACTCTTATCAAGTCTATCTACCTTCTGACTGCCTCGCTTACTCTGGTGAAATATCTTCAGCCTTCAATCTGCAACAGCACTGCCTTGCTCCTCAATCCTGCCAATGAGCGCTCTCAAAATTGTTTTGAAGTGAGGAATCGATGGAACCCCTCCCGTCCGATATGTACCGCTGCTATCTCCCGGGCCAAAGAGAGACGGAGCAAGTCAAAGATTTCCTTCGGCCGATAAAATGCCAGACATGTTCTCACTCCCCTCCCTCTCCACCGAGTCCCCGACCCACGTGGAGGGCAGGTCACCAGTGAATGGCAGCTCCGCCAGGTGCAGAAAGAACCAGAGTGAATCGAAGGTGCAAGGCTGCCTCTTTTCCCTGCTTTCGCCGACCTATTTCAGTCTCCATCCCTCTTCTCACCGTGCAGCCTCTGACTCTCCATCCTGTACACAAAGCCGGAAACACAACTCTGACAAAAGCGACATCACGATGGACCTCTCCTGTTAATCAGCGCAAGCCGCCCGCTGCACCCCAATTTACGTTGATCGGAACACCCGTTCATTTTCTTGTTCCCTCAGTCGTTCACAATCAATCACCTGTCAAGGACTCGATCACTCGCCAAGACAGGGCAAACGACAACAACCAGCTCATTCACTCATTACTTTGTTCTAAGCGACCGTGGTCTGTCTGGTGTGTACCAAAGCCTTTGAAACTTCACTCACCGAGCTGCTACTTATCTATCTTATCAACAGTTTTTCTCCCTAATCACCATTTTCTGGGGTATCCCCAGCATCAACAATCAAGGAAATCAGTCAACAAGATGGCTCCTATAATATACCTGACCAGCCAGGTCCCCAGGTACTCAACCACTCGCCGAGATGTCGACCCCCACTGCTATGGGTGGGATTGCCTCAGTGAAGGTGGCCAGGTTGGGGTAGTTCTGGTGATCATATTCTCTTTTGGTCTGGGGTGGTATATGTGGCGCAAACTTGGCCAGCCTGAGACTGCCTCCTCACGGCGATGGAGTATGACCACCGGCCTAGCGTCTTTGCCTCGCCTCTCCCGCCCTGGCACCCCATCTGGACGTCCTGAAAGTCGCAGAATGTCTGGGTCTATTTATCGCCAAAGCCACAGATTCTCGGATTCTATTCACCGTCGGTCGCAGTCTCGCCCAATTTCTCTGGAAAGCATCAGGGAGGAGAGGGATCGCCAGCCTGGGGAGTCAGAAAGCAGTGCAAGTCCCCATTGCCCATCGTCAGTGCATATTGAGATGGTGAAGACTGTAGGCGGGAACCACCAGCCTCCGGTCATACCACCTCCTCCAGGCCCTGCGCCTATGCTATGGACCGCCGGTCCAACGCCAGTATTTCTTCACCCTCCTGCTTACCCGCTCAGCTTTTCGAACAGTGGTCGTGTGAACGAGATTCGTTTCTCGTCTGCTGTAGGACAGCCAGTCCCCTTCCAACCCTACCCCTTTCCATATCAATACGGTCCAGGCCCATTACCCCCGTTCCCCAAAGGCATGGGCATACCTCCGAACGGGCCTGTTCCACCACCAAATCAGGGAAATGGACCTCAGGCCACCGATAACAACCCAACCGGCCCATCACAACCAAGTGCACCCAGCCGACCAGCTGAGAACCGCCGCAGATCTTGGTTCCCCTTCTTCCACCACAAACGCCCCACCCCCGGTCACGCAAGATCAATCTCGGAGTCAGCCATTTCCACCCTCCAACCTGAGCTCTCCTCCTTGCACCTCCCACCCATCGAAGAACCTGATATCAACCGTCTTCGACACCAGCCGTCAATCCGACTAATCGATCGCTCTCCCTCTCCACGGCAGCACTCCCCCCGTCCGTATCCCCGGATTGGATATCGCAACCAATCGCCAAGTCACAATCTCGACTCTGACAGCGAGGGGATCCACCCCTCTGAGCTTAGTCTAACCTCTATCGGGACTAGCATGAGGGTCCACGATGGGATACCGCCCTCTGAGGTGTCTGATTTTGGCAGGGATCCTCACTTGGAGGAGTATAGTCCTGAGAGGAGGAGACAGAGGAGCTTGAAGAGATCTGGGGACCCGAAGAGGGGGGATGAGAGCGATGCTGATGATGAGGAGGATAGGGGTAGGTTTCAGGGGAGGAGGGAGAGAAGGAGGGGGAGGAGGAGGAGGGGCCCACCAAGTGAGGATATTCAGTTTCCTAGTCCGGAGGTGCAGAGAGTGACGTTTGCTGAGCCGAGGAGGGAGAGCGGTGGTGGGAGGGAGAGGGGGAGAAGAAGACGGAAGATGACACCTGCGCCGAAGGGGAACAGAGAAAGATCTGGGGAGCGGTCTCCTGAACGTCGGTGTAGAGATCGCTCTTGTGAACGGACTCGTGAGGGATCTTTGGAGCGGGCTCGGAGGCGTAGGGAGAGGTCACCTACTCGTCAGCGCAGGGAGCAGTCTCGTGAAGGCGGCGCATCTTTGCGTCGATACAGAGGCCGATCTCGTGAACATTCCCCTAGGACTCGCCACAGAAACATATCTCCTGACTCGTCTGACGAGAGGACACGCACACCTCCTCCCCGCCGCAGAACCCAGCCCCGCGAGAGAGACGGTGTCCACCATTCGAGGGAGAATCACAGGAGCAGGAACAATCTTTTGGGAAGGTTACGGGCTTATCGGATGGAGATGAGGGGGGAGCGGTACTAGTCTCCGTCTCTTCCACCGCCGACACGCATTTTTCTTTCTCGATGATACCCATTCTTTCTTTTTTTTTCATGCCTAGGGAGGCTCCTCTTACAACTTCAGGAGCTATTTATTTTATCAGGGGTTTCAAATTTGCGGTACAGGTATATATACCTAGCGTTCTGTACAATAAAAACACACCACACAAACCACCAGCAATCTATCAATGATGCACAGCGAGGAACAGAAATCAATTTTCAGTGAAGGCATGAGGGGTGATGGCCTCTTTTTCTCAGATTTTTAACCTCGTTTTATGGACATCTCTGAAAGGTAGACTTGGGTGGAGGACGACAAAATGGCGTTTTTGCGGGCATTGGGCATTAGGCATTGGAGATGGTGATTTGGATGATATCATGGGGGCTGGTTGGTCATTTTTGGGCGTTGATGGTTGGGGCAATTCATGGCCAGCAATGCAGAAGGCCAAAAGGACAAGGGGGTGTTTCATGTGAGGATTGCTTTCTTGTTGTTATTACTACAACAGGTTAACAGTGGTTCTTTGTTTTTTGGCGGTGCGACAAAGTCCTGGGGTCATTGGGGACTGGATGGTGAGAGTGTTCTCAGGGCAGGTAATTTTTTAACTTACCAGTACACTATGATTTCTAGGCATTAAAGCCTGAGAGCTGGGTGGAAGGAGAGACACTCCAATACTCCAGAACCAACATTCCTCTAGGTTTAATAGGCTCCTATAAAGGAATCACATCATGAAAATCACATCAGTGTTCGATGCTTGTGATTTCGTCTCTTTCTAACAATACAGCAAAGAGGTCTGATAACCTTTCGTTCTGTCTCTTCATACTCTCACTTACACCCTCCCGGAGTAGCATTACTACACTTCGCCTTCCTCATCTCGGCCCTCAATCCAAAGATAATCTCTGGTGCCTGCGGGTTGATACACTTATTCCTCATCTCCTTGACACACTTCCCACCTGTGCAACAGCTTCCAATCACACACTTGTGCCCAGAGTCGCACTCCCTGTTTTTAGTGCAGTCCTTTTCTGCGCTGCAGTAATCATTCAGGAAACAAAACGACTTTCCATTGGAGTCGATTCCGCAGAGGCAGGAGCCTAGGGGACTTCCGCCACAGGGGAACGGAGTGTAGGCGCCACATATTTGGCCGGAGCAAGGGGTGGTGGAGTTATCGAAGGGGATTGTGCTGGTAATAGTGAATGTGGATGTAGAGGTGGTGGTTACGGGAGCGGCAGTGACGATGATCGTTGTCACGGGACAGGTTTTGGAGGTTGATGGAAGGGTGGTTAGCGTTCGGGAGATGGAGGAGAGGGTCGATAAGGTACTGGTTGTGGTGATGGATGAGGGTGGGCTGGCGGTCTTAGACGACGGTGGGTTGGTTGTGGCAGAAGTGGTACTGGAGAGTATGGTAGCGGACTTTGTAGATGCGATCGACGTGGTGATGGAGGCGGAGGAGTTGATTAGGGCTCGAGGGAGAAGTGGGTGGTATGGTTGGAACGGGTAGCGGGCTCGGGGTTCAGGAGGCGATGGCTTCTCGGGCGTTGGGATTGAACTGATAATTGTCGCGGTGGCAGTCACCGTGACAATCTCACTATGGGCTTGTTAGCTATTGAAGATATGAACCAGGTATTTGGGGAGGTGCTTACGTCTCTGCGGGTGTGACAGTCCTGCTCAAAGTATACAGGCATGCTGCTGTCGATGCATTGGTAGCAATAACAGCACGGGGTTCAAGACGAGGTTGATTTCCACTTTCAAGGGCAGCTGTATGGCCAAAGGCAGCGAAGACAAAAATTAACGGGAGAATTCCCATGGCTGTGGGTATATAACGAGTGAACCGGTGATATCTCCTATGACGGCCATGTCACGGCATGGGGCTCGAGGCAGAGTATTTAAACAGTTTCGACGTGTGTGGTTACTTTGTCTGGCTGACGGTATGCTCCATGATGTCTCTGTGTAGCCACGGTGTATAAGAACTTTAGAGCCTCGGTCACAGACTATTGTATCACAACAAATAGGATGTAGGTTGAACATGGAAGTGGTAGTATGCAGGAACATCTTCGAAGAAGAAAAGGTCTCGGCCGCAATAAGTCTGGGACAAGTTAGCAGACGCGAAGACCTCCAAAGACACAACTTCAAGACAGTTTTGATTGAGCGAACGCCTGGTTCTAGGTCCTGGTATCATTTCTACTGGTACCACCACAAGTGAACACAGTTCCTTTCTTGTGTCTTCAGTTGGCCTCTGGAACACAAAACACAAAGCTCTGGTTCCCTCCATGTTTCGGTCGAGTGGCTATGTTCTTTCGGCGATCCCTTGGACACACAAGGCATACGAGATATCAACAAGGTAACGATATTGAAGACATATGCAAGGGAGTATACGCGTGGGCAACGTGACGAACACGAAGAACGGATGGTCGGTCATGATCCCCCAAAGGCTTCTCGTTCGAGTGGAGCCAGCGGGGTCGATGGGTGGTCGGTTGTCGGGAATTTGGAATGTCGAGAGCGGCGGTCGGTGTTCGTGAGGGAGCTATAAACATATCCGGTCGGGGGTAATTGAGATCAGGTCGGTCGTCCTCTGAAAGGGATATCTAGCGAAGGAAGATGGCCTTCTCGAATCGATTTAGCTGGCACAGGAATGCCTCCATGACCAAAATGTGTTGCTCAAGGCGAAGATGCTTTGGCTCGGTTCAAGGGTTCAAGGGCTCAGGGGTTGTATCACTCGAACTGTCTGTTCGCCGTCGGCTGAGCCCGTCCGTGATCCGTAGCGGTTCGCCCCTTCCCTTGACTGGTCTGCTTGCCCCAACCTAGAAGGCTAACTGGCAGGAGGCAGACACGACTGGAGATGGCTGGAGGGAGCTTCACCGTGTCTTTCCCATCTTTGGCTCAAACGGAGAACCGGAATGTTCTCCTTCTTAGTCAAACAACACATCGAAAATCACGGAATCATTCGACACCAGCAATCATCTAATTGTCATTCATCATCATCTGCCCTTTGGCCGAGGGCCCTAAGCCGCTTCTTTCCATATTGATGAACTATCGACTACCTGCTCCGTATTCAGATGTATTTTGCATTTTGTGGCCTCCAATCCCAGTGTGAGCTGGTGGTGACAGCCGAGCCGCCTGGCCGAGGTAGACGTCAGCCAGTCTCCTGACACTCACCCTTTTACCTTTCAGGGGTCATCAGTTGACCACCATCACCGGTTTTTTATTCAATAGTGACAGTATCTATAACATTGAACCCTCTAGACCCTTCTTTTTGATGATTCACCTCACAATTGGATTCCCCCATACATTGAGCCTCTATTCGCCAAGTCTTCGATCCGGTTGTGGCAAGGCTGATGCGGTCTATGCAGTTCTGGAATTTCGCTCTTTGGCAATCGCAACAGCATGTTCGCAGCTGTCAATCTCATGATGTCTCAAGTCAATGCACCTGCACCTTATTCTCAATGATGTCGAGATCAACAATGGCATCGATTAGTACCGCAGCGCAACCCGTGTGCTTGCCCACTCCACAAACGTGAAATCTCCACTCCTGTTTGAAGGATCGGTCTACTGCGTCTTATCCAGAGTGGATTTGTGCAGGGGTCGTTTCCCGTATTCGCGCACCGGATGTGGGATGTGGGCAGCACTAAGCCGACAGTTGAGAGATGGTGTTCGCAAGATCCCCGAGAGATCCATCCTCGTTCGAGAATGACGAGCAGGACTTTCCCACTCCCAAACAGCTTCATCGGCCGGGAGATCGCCATAGTCCTACACGATCGGCTCCTCCAAGTTTCCCACCACCAAGGAACGAGCATATCAGCGTTGCACAGGACGCTTGGCTATGCTGCGAGTCCACGTTTATCAAGGTCCGGCAGCCATTATGGCCGTCCCGACTGGTTCTATGCCATGCAAAAGCAACGAAAATTGCAGCCTTCTCAGGCAGGGAGCTCATAAACTTCCCCAGGAGCGGCTTAGGCCAATGGTGATGTAGGATCCAAGACTACATTGCAGTCTGTCATACTCGAACTAAGGCCAGTCTGGCTAGCCATTGTCACCTCCCGTCTGCGGGCTCTGCCGCCGAAACCGCCGCCGAGTAGGGGGTCACTGCCGTTCCGGCTCGAGGTTGGGGGACAAAAAGAGAAACACCGCCCCGAGAACATATCGAAAGGGACTAGCGAGCTTGACCGTCGTGCAGCACATGCAAAGATCGACATGTTGAATGGGGCGGCTACTCAGCAGGAGCGGCACAGCAGGTGACAGGTATACCAGATGTGATTTGCCTCGAGATGTGCCAAGGGCATCTCTGGGGTTTCGCTACCTCATCTTGCAGATGTCGCCGACCAGTTGCAGCCTTGGATCACAGAGCCAGGGAGGTACGGGAATGCGCTGTAAGTCGACGGCTCTGCTCACGACCTATTCCAGCTGTGCTCGCCTATGGGTGTGGCCCCCTCAAGCGGAATCTAAGCATCTTGGTGCAGTAGCTCATGCCGACACCCCCTGTCAAGGACGAGGAAGCAATGTCCATGTACCAGGAACACGATAGGAAAGAGGCGCTGTGCCTGGGGCTGGCTGTGCGGAACCATCTCAGTCGCTGGACTGCGCGGTATATAATACTACCGCTGGACCCAACAGCATCAAAAGGAGACACCCGATCAGCCCTCCCATGCATCGGCTTTCCGTTGATGAGCACCCCCTCTCGATCAAGCACCCCGGCCATTCCACACGGGCAGGCAGCACACTCTCTGTGCCATCCAAACACCTAGCGGCTTGGTGCGGGATTCATCGAAGCCTCCCTTGTCCTGAACTCTGGGCGACAGCGCGGGACACCCACAGCGCCTGGTCAGCCGCTGATTTCCTCCATACGACAGCGGGATCCAATACTCGGTCCCTCGGCCGCTTCCCGCATGATACCACCCGGAGTGGCGGAAGCTGTTCACCGGTTGGCTCTTGGGAGACCTTGTTTCCCAAGCTACTGGTCTCAGTAGCATCGGAGCTGCAGCATTCATGCCACAAGTCTGAAAGCAGTTGACACTCTCGCCTACTAGGGCAGGAAAAGGAGAATTGCCCGGCACACGGGACAAAGCCTGCGAAAGACAGCTACTCGGTGCATCCGATACTTCGGCGACAGCTTTGTAGACGGCTCTGGGGAACAATCCAGCTTGAGACGCGGCCAAAGAAACATATATAACACAGCAGGCACTGGACTGGGGTTTTGAAATGAGTTCCCATCGAGATCCCAGATTCACTCAAAACAAGCCCCGACGGAATCATCTACATGCACCGACAAACCAGGGCATGATACAACATAATAGCGAAGCTTTCTTCATCGATTACACCCCTGGTAACCCCGAGGTACGACTGAAATTTCCTTGCCCGTTCAGTGGAGTTGGCCGTCCCTGGCAGGAGCCAGATGCCATTGCTCCGCCCATTCTAAGTGTGCAGACAAGGGGTAGTGGATTGACGAAATGGGGAGCATGAGGATATATGGTGATGGGGTGGTCCGCCAGAAACTGAAAACCCGCCTTTGGAGAACAAAAGGGGGAAATGGAGAAGATGACAAGTCAGAAAAATGCCCCGAAGAAAGACAGACAGCTTGATTGACGATACTTGGCACAAGCATGTGCGTGATCAACAGCGAACCGGTTGGAAGGGTTCAGAGAAAAAGGGGGCGAAGGGAGGGCAATGCACCATCAGGAGCTTCTTATGCCATTGGGGTCTAGACCCTCCTGAGGTAGGGGCGGGGCGGGAAATGATAGCATGCGGCGTGGCGTGCTGAATGTGCCTGACGATGGCCTCATTTTTTGGATCCGAATGCAAGAATGCGCTGACTTTTTGTAGCACCTAGTTGCCGGCGGCTATCACTCAACGTTCGGAGCCGGGGGCCTAGCCCGGCTTGGCCCGGAGTATCACCCCACAAACACGCCATCGGCCGCTAGCTCCTCAGCGTTTGGCCAACCGGACTATTCCTTCGCAACGGCCGGTAGCACCACCCTTTCTGCGGCACGTGTCCGGTCACGAGAGCACCCCAACGTCTACCCCCTGAATACCAGCCAGCCGGCTTTTCCACCTGCTGCGACTCTGGTTGACTGGCGACTATCACCTTATACGACTGATGCCGTCTCTCCTAATGTTCCGGTCTCGATTGCGGCACACTCGCTTTCCACCACCGCTGGAGTAATTGGATATGCATCACAGCCGAATGTGACCGATCCGTACATGGGCGATTATGTATCGCCCACCGCTCCTCTTCCTCCTCCGCAACAGCCAGGCTTTGATTTTCAGCCGTGGCCAGCCGCCGTTGACGATGGCACCATGAGCCTCGGTACAGCATCGCCGAGCTCGCTCATGTCACCTGTGATGCAGAGCTACGAGATGGTTGCCAGCCCGACGGGATCTGGAATTGATGAGTCGAGCATGGGGATGTATGGAGGTGCGTCGGTGGAAAACTGGCAGTTGCCACCGCAACCGCCGTCTAGAACCGACAGCATGGAGATGGGAACCAGCAGCCCAGGCGGTGGTGGAAAGCGGGCGAAACAGTACGCCGAGCAGAGCGGCGCATCACCGGTTACTGTAGCACCTAAGTCTGGTGCCGGTAACAGTACCACCACCGCTGCAAAGACGAAGCTACGCAGCGCCTCGAGAACGTCGAAGAATATGCAAACTCGTACCGAGGAAACCCCTCAGGAGCGCAAGTCTAGGAACTCGCACAATCTGGTTGAGAAGCAGTATCGGAACAGGCTGAACATGCAGTTTGAGATATTGATGAACACGCTCCCTGAATCGATGCGCTCGCCGACCACGACTGCTTCGGGGGCGGATTCGGATGTCGGACAGGCTGGTGGTGGTCAAGGGGGGGCCGGGTTGGACTTGGGGGAGAGGAGGTTGAGTAAAGCGCAGGTGTTGGACATGTCGACGAGGTATATACGGTCGTTGGAGAAGGAGAGGGAGAAGCTGGAGAGGGAGAGGGAGGAGCTGCTGTTGGGGATGGCCAAGATGAGGGAGGCGTATGAGAAGGACGGGACGTCCGGGCCCGGTTCGGGGACGGGAGGTGGGAAGGGGAAGGGCGCTGCTGGTTGATGATGGTCTGGGGCAGATGTGGTGGTACATGAGAGAACAAAAGTAATGATTTACGATATACACGACAAGTTTTAAAAGTTAGAAGAGGAAGAAGGGCGGGGGTTGACATTCCACCTGCCTACCTGCTGTCTTTTGTGCACCCGTCGTGGTGTGGTGGTGGTGGACGGAGTAGGAAGGTCGCACATAGATGTGATGCGTACACATTTGGAGGGATGGGCCTCCCTCCTTATTTGCATAATACATCTAGACGATTTGACGACCAACTTTGAGACTGGGTATTTTTTTGGTTGAATTTGTGCGTGACTGATATTATACCCCTCTCCTTCTCTTACAAAGACAACAAAACAGAAGAGGCCGTAACCTGTCTTCTTGCTAATTCTACCCGACAACCAGCCAGCCAGCCAGCCAGCCAGCCCAACCGACCAGAGACCAGGTCCCAAGACGCCGCCACATGATAGAATACACCTAGTGGTATCGCACACGCTTTCTCTTCTCTCTCTCGCTGGTTTCCCTATATAGTCGTGGGAAAAACATGATGAAAAATGCAACTCTGACAAGCAAACCAAAAACTCCAAAGAACGCCGTTTAACCCTTGGCTCGGGTGTTTTGTTGCAAGCAGCATATCCGTCTCCAGATATAATAACCCCCTAATTCCACCTTCCTTTTTGTACAGCTCTTCCCCCCCGAGACACGAAAACAGTTTCCGTGAACAAGATGTGACCATCATTTTGCTCTTTCGTCCAGCTGCAAACCCTTATGCTCATGACCCTTTCTCCCTGTGTGCTGCTAAAAGGTTACCTACCCGAAAACTGGGTGGCTTCGAGTTGACGGGAAATGCTCAAAAAATGACAGAGCAAGTAAGTATCGGGTATGCGGTCGTCCAAAGAAAAAAAAGCGATGGCATGCAGCCCAAAAAAGAACCGCAAAGTCGTCCGGGAGCTTGGGTGAAATCCGCAATCCAAGATAGTCTGAGAGAAGACTGGGTCCCCCAAAGGATGGTGGTGGGCTAACTCCCCCTTTTCTCAAACTCAACCCAGCTCACTCCAGCACCGGCCGATAATCGAAAGTGTGAAATCGCCAAAATAGAATATCGTAACAGAAGACTGATGATTTACACCCACCCCGCCCCGCCCCAAACACCTCTTATCCTCCTCGCAAGCTGCAGGTCCTTTTGCATAATGGTTACCCGCTTGGCGTGGATGGCGAGGAGGTTGGTGTCTTCAAAGAGGTGGACAAGGAAAGCCTCGGAGGCTTCTTGGAGGGCTTGAATGGCTTGGGATTGCCAGCGGAGTTCGTCGTTCATGGGGCGGCAGGTGATGGCTATTTCGCGGACCTTTTTTTTTGTGTCAAAAACGATACTCATCTTCTTCTTCTCCCTTGATTGTTCCTCGGATATATATATATATATACGTACCAATCGCGCAAATGGAAGCTTGAGCAGGAGGAGATCGGTGTTTGATTGATATCTGCGGATTTCCTTCAGGGCGAGGGTGCCTGGGCGGTAGCGGCGCTTGCGGCCTTGGGGGACTGGATCGCCTGCTTTAGGGGGTTTAGTATAGGGCAATGGGGGAGGAGGAGGAGGAGGAGGAAAACATACGCTGAACATTGGATTGTCTTCCTGCTCCTGAAGGGCGACCGGGGCGACGGCCAGCCTGTTTAGGTGGCATTTTTTCTTTTTCGGCGGGAGGGTATTAACGATTAAACCCGACGGGAAGGCCGCGAGTCGGTTGGTTTTGCGCAAAAGCTAGCGAATGGCTCTTTGCGATTCAAGCTGGAGATGGTTTTGCGCGACGAGGGAATTGGCTCCGAGAATTGAGTTTGCGCGATGCAAAAAAAGGGCGGAGGAAGGAACCGGCGATTGGGTGTTGTAGATGTATTATGCGTAACCTGCAGGAATGGGGTGGGTGGACAATGGTGGTTTTTGACGGATAGAGCAGAAAGGAGGGTCTCACAGGAATGCAAGGAGAGAGAGTATGTACAAATCCGGGAAGTTGGCTGGGTGTTTAATGGGGGAAAAGAAGAAAGATTCCCCTCCCCTCGACGCGAGCAGAAAATGGAGCTGTCGCGACGGAACGCGCTACGGTTGACAGGGGGTTAAATGGGGTGGCTGGGGAGATGTGGGGAGCTCTGTTTCTCTCTCGAAGAAGGGGAGAACAATGTGTGGCTTGTGCGTTGCTGTCAAACCAGCCACAAGACATTTGACAGCTGCGGGTTAGGGTTGAGCTCGATACGAAGGCTGGGGCCATAAGCCTTTGGACTCCCACGTTAGCAGGGGTTTAAACATCACAGTGCTCATCTTGCACACTTACCGCTCACAACCCTAACCCTCGTACTTTCCTAATTCTCGCATCTCTTTAACCACCTAAAAAGACATTATAAAAAAAGATGTAATGCGTTCAAAAGTAGCTTTTGTATATATTAGTACTTGAAATTGTTATAGAGTGACTCTCTGGTGCATTTATACTTAGATGTAATTGATGCTTTTGTAGTGTGAACTGCTTATCGCACTGTCTTAGCCCTTCTTGGCAAAACTGCTGCTAACGCGGGAGTCCAAAGACTTGTGGCCCAAGCCTTCGTAGACAAAAAATATGCAGATAGTGAAACGGCAAGCTGGCAGCAGCGTCATTGTGGACCCCGCCGCAGCAGCGGCTCAGCTTCCCGACAAGGGTCCGAGATAAACGACACGCCGCTGTTGCTGATTGTCCCGCGGTCTTGTGTCCTGATGCTTGATGAGCAACCAAGAAGCTTCGTTTCCTAAAAGGCCACCTCAACATCTTGAGAATTAATCAATCCTTTTCGCTCACCTGCCAACACACATTTACTGCGACAGATTGCGCCATCTTCCTCAGAGGCACAAATTGTTCTACAGCAATGGCTTTTTGAACGCAATCCCATTTACGCTTGATTTCAAAGCCAACAAGACACCCTTTGAAGACTTACACTGAACGAGACCAAATCATAAATCCGCCGAGCTATATCCACCAGCTAGAAGCACGGGAACTACCACTACAAAAGTGGCAATTGCATCAACCCCTACGAGCGAGCGCCCGCCCCACTTTCCCCGGATTCTGGGCTTGCGCATCACTGGCGTCGTCAACCCTAACCACACCTATTTTCCATTTCGATCGCAGTAGGCATATAGGCTGCGCACAATGGACGGACTCATGGACAACAACGGGCGCTTCCCACTCGAGACGTGGTTCTGGGAAATGCCTGTATGCACAAGATGGTGGACAACAGCAACAGTGTTATGCGCCGGCCTGGTGCAATGTCACCTCTTAACACCCTTCCAGCTCTTCTACAGCTACAGAGCGGTATTCGTAAAAGCTCAAGTCAGTACTCTCTCCCTCCCCTTTCCCACTTGATGTATCGCTAACCTTTTCACCCCTTAAAAGTACTGGCGCCTCCTCACAACCTTCCTCTACTTTGGCCCCTTCTCCATGGACCTCCTCTTCCACGTCTATTTCCAACAGCGCTACTCCCGCCTCCTCGAAGAGTCCTCCGGCCGATCACCGGCGCACTTTAGCTGGCTGCTGTTTTACGCGATGAGCAGTTTGCTGTTACTATCACCTTTTATAGGGATGCCCTTTCTCGGTCACCCGCTCTCGTCGACGCTGGTGTACATCTGGTCGAGAAGAAACCCGGACACGCTGATGAGCTTTCTGGGGGTGCTGGTGTTTAGGGCGCCGTATCTGCCTTGGGTGTTGATTGCCGTGAGCTATGTGTTGCACGGCTTGATCCCGAAGGATGAGATTTTGGGGGTGGTGATTGGGCATATTTGGTACTTTTTTAATGACGTGTACCCACCGCTGCATAATGGGAGCAAGCCGTTGGATCCGCCGATGTGGTGGAGGAGGTTGATTGGTAGGTTTTCTTGATTTGGGGGCTGAGAGATGAGCAGTGCTGACATTGGCCACAGAGGGCCGCCCAAGAGAAGAAGAGACCAACGACGAGACTGCTAATGGCGTGGATAACGAGTTTGCTGTTGCTGGGGCTGGTCCGGAGGTGCCGGCGCCAGATATGCGATGAGATTGACAAGAAGGATTTGGGGGAAGAGTTGTATTTGCATGACAGTACATAGTGGTGGTCGGTTTACTTTGCGTCTAGTTCTTTACTAGCATATTTGAAACTGGCCACAGATGCTTAGCATGGCACATTTTATGGCGTTGGAGGTTACGGCATCGGGACAACAGGTTGGAACCTGACGAATCCACAGTCTGGAAGCAAGTAGCGCTGATATAATGAAATGTTATTCGAGCGTTGCTATCAAATGCGTCTTTCACCAGTTCTACCAATCTGATCCGTATGGATCGGGTACGAAACCCGAGCGACGGGCGTTTTGTGAGGAGCACCGAAAGTGTATAGACCAGGCCAAGAATGATCAATTCTCACTAGCTTGCTAACTTGCTTGCTTGCTTTGCTTCCACCAGTTCCATAACATCATCATGCTCAAGCAGCCAAGAACTGCTGAACATACTCCTTGCGATAAGCGTTCTCATCCAACCCCTCCGTCCTGTTCAGAGGCGTCCACTTGGGCTCGTCCTTGAACAACCTCAAAGCCTTGATGTACTATTATTTTCCCCGTTAGCCATCACTCCCTCACCACCACCAACCGCCATTTCCAATAGTCAGTGAAACTTACATTATCATCATCAGTAGTAAACCTGTGGTAAATCCCCGCCGGCAGGATGATCAGATCGTTCTTCTCGAGGAAGATCCTCACCCACCTCTCGTCCTTGTCCCTGACGTCAAAGTACCCCTTGCCGTCCTTGACGTACCTGATCTCTTCGTCTTCGTGGAGGTGCTCGTCGAAGAAGGACCTGACTTTGGTCTCGTAGATGTCGCCCATGGCCTCGGGGGAGACGGTGATCTCGTCGCGGTTCTTGTACCCCCGCTCGGCGGCGAGGGCGTCGACGTCGGAGAGGGAGGGGATGTGGTGGTAGAGGACGCCGAGGGAGAGGAGCTCCGAGGGGGAGATGGGGGTGCCTGAGTTGTGGGGGAGGCGTTGGTCGCCGGGGAGGTCGTCGTAGATGTAGGCTTTCATTTTGGGCTACTTTTGAGTATAAGGGTGTGAGATTGAGGTTTGGGGTGTGAGATTTGGAGTTGTGAATGTGAGAGCTGAGAGGTGAGAGGTGAGGTGAGAAATGGGTGGAATTGATGATGGAAAGGGCAGGGGGATGGTGGGGCTATAAATTATTTTGGTGATGAGGGGCGGGCGCTGCCTTTTTCCAGAAACACAACGAACACTTGCGCCTTCAAAAGGCACACCTCACGCAGCACGCACGGCAAATTTTCTATAAGATATCGGGCGGATTACGCCAGAAGTGGCATGTCAAACGGACCAGATGAACCACACACCTTTTTGCGTGACAAGATCGGAGGATGTGCGTGACGTCGTCAAAAATGTCCCGCAATTGCGCAATCGGAACTGTTACCGTTTTGATAGCGTATTGTTACGGGATGACGTGGGTAAGGGTTGTGGGTGTGCTGCATACACAACCCTGGTTTTTGGTGAATAGGGGTAGTGATGCACAAATCAGGGGTAATGAGGAAAAAAAGGTAAACTGGTGTCATGCTGCTTTATAGGTAAGTCGTGGCTTACTGCGTGCGGGTCGAGTGTTCATCACGATGTCTAAAAGAGGTTGCGTATCTTTTGGTCGAGGCCGATGAGAAGACGATGACTGCTCTTGCTGCTCCGAGATTACGAAGTCTCGTATAATGAATGGCCCAGCAATTAGATTTCAGATACCTGTATCCCGATAGTTTCTAGACATCTTCAACCAATGCATTGGCCCCGGAGCATGGCCAACAAGCTGGGATTGCAAAGAAGCTATAAAACATACTTACTATGTGCTCAAAAGTAATTGAATATCGTTTGGCTACCTATATCATTCATTATATCTTTAGGACGGAACATCAGCTCTCCAAAGACATCTTAGCAGCTTCGAAAAGACCATCCCAACCCGCAACACACCGTCTCCCTAGCTTAATAGACACACAGTTAATAACAGATTGCGTACATCGTGATAAGTACGAATCAAAGTTCGAGACGTATTCGCAAGACATAAGACGCCTACGTTTGTATCAGCGTATCCAGATAAATGACGTCCTCACGCCAGCTCCATACGCCCGCACAAGTACACCACCAGTCGCCCAAGACTCGCTCGCTTTTCTTGAACCATCCCAGCAACTGGTTAACTGCCCAAAACGGGCATGGCATCAGGTAACACCCATGCAATACATCCCCCAAAAGTCTTCCCAGCAGCTCCAAAGACCGGCGACTGGGCTGTTCCGAGCATCATTTCAGCCCTCGCCCAACTTCCGCCCCGGTGATGTACAGCACATCAGATTGGCTGCGTTCGCGATATTCGTGCCCAGATCCAAGACATCATGGGACTCCTCGACAACTTCCCAAACTCGCAGACCCGTGAGATGGCCTCGACCTAAGCAGGCGTGAGTCTGGCCGCGGGCGCAAGCGCAAAAGACACTGGCTCAGCAGCGCTCGCGAGCGCTCTAACATTCATCCCAGCCAATCAATCTGGCTGCGGTACAGCATTTTGCATGGAGGATAGGCAGAGATATGGACATATGGCAGAGGTGTAGTGTTCAACCTGCACTTACATGACTATTTATTCTATGATTTGGGTCGAATCCTGCTTAGACCGGTAGGTAAGTAGGTAGGTAGGTAAGTAGGTAGGTAGGTAAGTAGGTAGGTAGGTAAGTAGGTAGGTAGGTAAGTAGGTAGGTAGGTAAGTAGGTAGGTAGGTAAGTAGGTAGGTAGGTAAGTAGGTAGGTAGGTAAGTAGGTAGGTAGGTAAGTAGGTAGGTAGGTAAGTAGGTAGGTAGGTAAGTAGGTAGGTAGGTAAGTAGGTAGGTAGGTAAGTAGGTAGGTAGGTAAGTAGGTAGGTAGGTAAGTAGGTAGGTAGGTAAGTAGGTAGGTAGGTAAGTAGGTAGGTAGGTAAGTAGGTAGGTAGGTAAGTAGGTAGGTAGGTAAGTAGGTAGGTAGGTAAGTAGGTAGGTAGGTAAGTAGGTAGGTAGGTAAGTAGGTAGGTAGGTAAGTAGGTAGGTAGGTAAGTAGGTAGGTAGGTAAGTAGGTAGGTAGGTAAGTAGGTAGGTAGGTAAGTAGGTAGGTAGGTAAGTAGGTAGGTAGGTAAGTAGGTAGGTAGGTAAGTAGGTAGGTAGGTAAGTAGGTAGGTAAGTAGCTGGATTTTGAGAGATGATTTGTTTTGGAAGATCCGTTAATACATGCCTATCACAAAGAGATATGCATGCACATTTGATGAGTCACTGTATTGTAGATCTCAAACTCAATGCTATCTAGAGGCTTACGCCACCCAGTCTACCACTTTGACCCGCCCCTCAAGACATTCCCCAAGAGTTGTCTACTCCGCCTGACCAACAAATGCCGGCAGCCTCTTTGAAACCTCCTCCCAAGTCTCCATGCCGTTCACCATATTCTTGATAGCCTGAACGACCCCGTCCTCCGAAGCCCTGACTTGAGACGTGGAGTCCCTGTCCCTCAATGTTACCGACCCATCCTTCACGGTGTCAAAGTTGATCGTGATACCGAGGGGCGTGCCCAATTCGTCATTCCGGGCATATCTCTTGCCAATAGAGGCACTCGACGAGTCCGCAATATTGGAAATCCCCAGAGAATGAAGGCGGGCGGATAACTTGTGCACGAGGGGCGTGAACTAAGGCTGGGCGGAGAGGGGGACGATGAGAACCTTGTTGGGGGCTACACCAAAGGGAAGAGACAAGACCTAATCAAAACATTAGTAAAGAAATGCCAATGGATGATGATACCTTCCACTTACTGCGCGGGCCTCATCACCAGGCCTATGCCAATACGTCTGTTTCAAGACACAATAGAGGATTCTCCCAATGCCAAACGACGGCTCAATAACGTTGGGGGTGTACACCCGTGTGTTCTGGGCGCGGGTAACCTTGGCGATGGTCAAGAGTTCCTTCGACAACTCCACAGATGTCCGTCCATCACCAAGCGCCGGAGTGTCGATAGACACAATACCCTTCTCCGCAACCTCTAAAGCCAGACGCTCCAGAGTAGGCTGATCCAGAGCTTCCACTACACTCTGGATGACCTTGGCATCCTTCTTCAACCGCGGGCCGATGAGCTTCTTGTCAAGGGTAGCCTGCCACTCTTCCACCTTAACTGGCTTTGAGAGAGCCTCCTTGACGATCAAAGGGGACCCAGTGTAGGCCGAGTGGACAGTCAAATCGTAGGCACTACGATCAGCGCAACCGACACACGGAGAAATCGAAATTTCCACAGAAAAAAGCTCACCTGCGCAAGAATATTCTCATACTCCGCGGCAGTCCCTCCGTCCAATTTGGCGGAGTTTTTGGTCAGTCCCTTGGTGCCACGCTCAATCCGCGCCTTCAGCACATTCTCAACCAAGTGATCCGCACGCAGGTAATCCCCTATCAAACGGCGGAAAAATTAGCTCAAATTCTCACAAAGATAGGTCGGGCAATGACAAACCTCTCCTTGCACATCCAATCCGCAAACTTGTCCACATGTCCGCTCGTCTTGAGGACCAACTCCGGCGTAATCACCGTGCAGTCCAACTCGAGCATATTCTCCTCCATGACGAAATGTTTCCGCCAAGCATCGACGATGTTGGCCTGGAGGGCGCATCCTGGGGGCCATAGTCGAACAGTCCGCGATTATCGCCCTTGAAGTTGGCGGAGAGTCGATAGATTACAAATGACTCGGTGAAAAAGAAGCGTCTCTTCAAGACGGATTCAAAGGGTGGTCGATCGAAGGGTCCGCGGTTGTCATGGGAGCCATGGTTGGCGGTTGAGGCTAACCCAGTGCGGTTTGACAGGTGGGGATGGTGGAGGGAGGTGCCAAGGGGACCGTTCGTGGGGGAGGATTTATTTTTGGAGGGATGACCCTGCGTAAATCAACGGGCATGGTCATAGCTCCTGTGGGGCCTCTCCTATCGATAAGATATTGAAGAGGTCAGGGGATTCATGGTGTTTTCTTTGTCCTCGCAGCAATAGGCAGTGGCAGCAATAGACTAGTGGCAGGAGCACATTGGCACGAGTAGAAGAGAGTGAGTGGTATTAAAAGAGGAGTCACGTACTAGGTAGCAAAGTAGTGGCAGCAACAGGGTAGAGGTGGAAAATATCTTAATGGAAGCAACAGCAACAGCTTTCTAGGTCGTCAACAACATTCTAGGCCATCAACAGCAGTCTAAGTCATCAACAGCAGTCTCACCGGATAACTGTCACGGCAAGAACTAGAGCAGTGCCTTAGGCAAGCAGGGCAACCTGAAAGATACGTTGGTAACATCAGAGCAAATTGCAAAACCAACAGAGTAGCTATATTGGCAGAAGCAAAGATATCAGCAACAGCAGCAGATATAATAGTACTTGAGCCGAGCAGGGTATCGCAGCATGACAGCAGAATATATCAGTAAGACCAGCAAAAGATGTAAGCACCAACAGTAGAATACCTGTATTGGATAACAGGCTCCACAGATTATATTAGCAGCCACAGCAAACTGCATGGGTGGCAGGAGCAAAAGCACCATCGGAGGGTTGTAGTAAAATCTCTCACTATGTAGCAATGGTAGGAGAGCTCATCAGCAGGAGTGAAGGCTGTTCTCATGGGGTAGAAAACAGACTCGCGGTAATTGGTAGGGACAGGGTGTCTCAGCACCAACAGCACCTGAAGAATGGCTATAACAAGCTGGAGCTGGTAATAATGGAGAGATAAGCCGTGTGCTGCGGGAGAAACAGAGTGGCAGCAGCAGTTGCAAATTAAGTATCTTTAATTACAACAACAGAAAGGAATAACCATGACCGAAGCAGGAGTGACAGCCTATGTATATAGAGAAAAATGTAAGAGACTGGGAAATCACATCTTTTAGCCACAGCGTCTACAGTCTCCCCATGATCTTTTTCCAGCATCTGATCCCAACACCAACATGTCACTACCATCCGATCTTCTACAGTTCCGCCTAAGCATCTGTATATCTATGTAATTACTGTGCCATGTTCAGCAGCACCGAGTGCGATTGGGCTTTTGTCCACAAGCACCCAGACAAGGTCTGGCTTTCATAGAAACTGTAAACAAGTCAATCCGATAATGTAGAGACGAAGTGGTTAAGTAATTAAACCAAAGATGTAAGTGTAAAGATGAAACGTTTCCAGACGAAGATGAAGACAGCACCTTAAGGGAGATCCTTCCATTGTCAATCCCCCCCCATCGTGAACTTCACAGATCAAAACGTGTCTACAACACGGACTCTGTGACTTGACATCATAACAACACCCACATCATCACGTCACCACATCACCACATCACTACATCAACACAATCCAGTACAGAACAAACGTAATTATAGAACCCCTATATACGCAAGAAAACCACAACTATAGCTTGCCCCAGGCTGACTCCCGCCCTCCCAGTCACCAAGCAAAGTAACGAAGAAAGCACAATTGCCACTCCACCCAGAAACCTCTTGGTCTATTCCCCCTTGCTTTCCAGGTTTCGAAAAAAAAAAACCCCCGATTTGCCTCCCTCCTTGCTTTTCTCTATAGAGCTCAAATTCTCCAAGATTACCCACCGCCCAGACCCCATTATTCGTGTATAGAAAAAGATGCTCGTCTCCCTCTCGTTCTAGCCATGGGAGAAGCGCAAGAATCGAAGCAAAGAGATAACCTCCCCCCAATATAGGTTGGTAGCGAGAGGCAATACCACAGCTCTAAAACATGCGATAATGCCTCGCCAGCCAAAAGCCCAGAATGCAAAAAGTCAAGAGACTGCCCAGAATCCCAAAGAAAGGCGCGAGAGTGGCCCCGTCCCCATCCGCAAACGGCACCCTGACGTTCATTCCAAACAGGCCCGTCACCACATTGAGCGGGACAATGATGGACGCGAGCAGAGTCACCTTGCCCAACATACGGTTGGTGTTTGTCCCTTGGGCAATACCATCAATCGAGATCTGAGCGAGATAATTGCTGTGCGCGCGAGACAGCATCTTTTCGCAGTGGCCGAGGTTGTTCATCATGGTGACAACGTGATCCTGGATATCGCCAAGGTACATGCCTATGTCCATACGTGGCGTGACCTTGTAGTTCTCGTTGCACCTCTTGGTGAAGCCTCGGAGGACGTCGGCCTTGCCGCCAAGTAGTCTCATCAGAGCCATCGTGTTCTTGCGTGCTGTGCCGATCTTGCGGAGGAACTGTGCCATGTCATCTGTACGGGCAATGAAGACCTCATCCTCAATCTGGTCCGTTTCGTCCTCAAGCGAGCGGATATCAGGAGCGAATGAATCAACGATATCGTCGCTGCGAGCTGGTCAGCTTTGAAACTGATTAAAAGATACCAAATACACTTACATCAAGGCGTAGCAAATCCAGTCGCTACTGAGCGAGACATAATCCTTGAGCATTGCGATTCTCTTCCGCACGTGAGAGGCATGAGAATTTTTGGCATAGCTGAAACTCAGCGTGCCCTCGCGGAAGACAACCGCATAGATGTTGAAAGGCTTGAACTCCTTCTCCCCATCCTCGTCATTCTCGATAAAGAATGACCGGAAGCAGGCAAAGTAGTACGACGGGAAGAGTTCAATCTTCTCGCGAGATTCCTGCGTCGTGATATCTTCAATTGTCAGGGGATGGATACCAAAGGCCCTGCAAACGGCGCGCACCTCCTCTTCAGAAGGGTTCTTCATATCCAGCCACCACACACCATCCGTCTCGCCCTTGGGGAAGCTGAAGAGACCACGGATATCCTCACCCTCCACGAGCAATCCTTCGAGATCGGGGGCATTGATTGTCGATTCCCAGGCCGAAGAGAAGAAACTGACCCGGTTTGGATCTGGCTGAGGCACCGGGAGTTGGACCTGCTTGACCTGTTCCTCGTCTTGACCTTTTTCGGACTTTTCTTGGTGGCTCTCTGCGTCAAAGGCTGGCGACAGAAAGTCACCATCCAAAGTGATCATGGGCGTTGGAACATTAGATGGGTTGGTAGAGGGCCGGACATCAGGGAATGTGCGAAGCACAGAAGGACGACGGGCTGCTTCACGGGCCTCACTTTCGGCTTTCATAAAATTCTCCAGATAGTCAAAGTCAATGTGCAGGGTGGCACCACTCCGCTCGTCCTGAAGCGGAAAGCAGACATCCTCCTCGGCTGACTTGTTGGTCGCAAGACTGGCGGCATCATCACTCGCCGCCACAGTGACCTGCTTGCTGCGGTAACTATGCCGACTGACAATGGATGCAGTCCTCTGAAGCGGTGGCTCCTCCTGCTCACTCTGCTCCGGCTTCGGTTCCGAGAACGACATGTCGCGCTCCCGCCGGCGGGCCTCGGCAAAGGCCTTGACCGAATTAGGAGGCGACGAAGAGCGATCCGAAATCGACTCGATGGTTGGCCGACGGGCGCGTCTCATGGTGGGCGAGTTCTCAGGCCCCTCATCGTCGATGATGGCCTCTTCAAAATCGCGAACAACAGGTTGTCCGGCTGCAACAGCTGCAACTTGGCGTGCCCCGTAAAGAGAGTCAAATGTTCCTCGTCGAGCGCGATCAGGGCGATGCACCGACGCCGTCTGGTTTCGGTGGTCGTCCAACTCTGGAACAGGGGTCGAGTACCCCGAGTTTCCGCCCATCTCCTCCTGGTCGGACATTTTCGTGGTGTGTCTGCTTGTCGTCTTGCGGTGATCCAGTGGTATTGATAGTTCCGTCCCCTTTCTCAGTCTCTTTCCTTAGCTTCCTTACTTTTTCCCGATGCAATGGGTCCTAACCCAGCCCAAGAGCCCCTAGTGAGGACTCAGTCGCAGCGCATATTGCCGTGGGTGTCGTCGCAAGAAAGCACCAGCGGGGGGCAGCGAACGGCCGGGAGCCGTCCGCAACGACGCTCTTGTAAAACACCTGAATTGAGAAGAGGGCCGCGGTACCGGGACTCTGGTAAAGCGACGCTGGTGAAGGTGGCGGGTGATCTTCGTTTCTGTGATGTCAAGTTAAACTCGTAGGTTACTGAAGGCCAGTTAAGGCGGCTTCTTGTTCACTCCACTGTAGACCAACTCAGGCCCCAGGAGTGAACGAGGAGTAGAAAACGTTGAATCGATGGTGCCCGCCAGTTTGTGATGACGAAGCAGTCGAGACAGCCTGTGCGACTCGGGACCCGTATATATGTCGCAAATTCGGCGCGCTATCGTGATGGTCTGATCAAACCAGCTTCTGGGGTCGAAATTATCGGCGCTGACTTCTATGAAACAATATTGATGCAAGCTGGCTAATGGCGGTAGTTGCTAAGGAGAACAGTCGGCAGGCATGGCCTGTTCCTAGGTAGCTAGGTTGCGGATGTTGGTGATGAGTGATAATTAGGTAGTGCAAGGAGAAAAAGAGCAAAGCAGGTTGACCGCGTTTTGAAGCTGACAGTCAGATATGCCGAGCATATGACGTTCCTGATTCACTCAAGGATAAGGGGCTGCGCCACAGGTGAATTTCTTAAATAAACCCCTGTAGGAATGCGAATTCACTCCGCTTGACAGGGAGAGGTGACTTCTCAACGGTCACCAGGTTTGTCGAGGAAGATGTTGTAGGATGGGATGGAAGGGGGAGGGATGGAGGGATAGTGCTCTGGGCCCGGCGATGGATTTTCACTTTTTGGCCTCTGCTCAAAGAAATTCCAAGTTGTTGGTCAGGAGGGCTTTCCTTGACATTGACTTTGCACGGGATGGAAAAAGTTTGGCCACTTAGCGCCGCCGGCGTTAGTCATCGCTAACCAAAAGCCCGCAATTCGGGTATCAAAGGGCCAAGAGACTCTTGTCATAGAATTGCGTACGTAAACAGGGCAGAACGCCTCCATCGTCAGGAGAGCAGCTAGAAAGCTCGATGACGCTCCATCCGAGAGATAAGCTCACATTCCCAATTCCTCCCTTCCACTGCCAGTGAGGAGAGATGTCAACCCCATCCCGTCAATAATACAGCAGCACATGCACTGCACAGGTGCATGATAGGGGAGTTGTGTTCAGCCTCAACAGGGGCTGTTGGGCTTCGACGCAGTAGCGACCTCCCCAAATGCACTAAATCTTCCGGGAAGTGGGGCTTATATGTACATTCTGATTGGCCAGTCGCATACAGGCACACGGTGCCCTGTCCTGTGCGCTGCCGGAGGGCAAGTGCAAGCGGCACGTCCCCCAGAAGACACGTTGAAACCAATTGCAGATCCACTCTTTTGACATCAATCACTGTGGACCAGACCACGGCGCATCACAGACAATTCATATCAATCGCGATAGCAACGACGACCTCAATCGCCAGTTCCCTGTCCAAAGTCCAGACTCATCCTTGATAACTCAAGATGGCGGAACAACTCCTCGAGCAAGCCCGCGACATCTTTGAAGGCCAGATTGTACTTCCCTCCATCTTCCACAACAATCACCTGTCCCCCCCAAGCTAACTTATACATCCCAGGACTTCGAAGGCCAAAAGCTAGTAGAGAATCTCGTCAACATCTCGCTCTCGATAGTAGGGGTACGATTCTACCACAATCCCCTTTTCCAGCAGACAGCACTAACTTCACCCCAGGCAATCGCCTTCCTTGTCGGCTACTTCCTCCAAGACATCAAGCTCGCCGTCTACATCGGTCTCGCCGGCACCGCCGCCACTTTTCTTCTTACCGTCCCTCCCTGGCCAATCTACAACAAGAATCCCGTCAAGTGGTTGCCGGTAGCGGGAGCCGCACCACCAACGAATATAGTTATCGATGAAAAGATGCTGCGGTGAGGGAATCGGACGAGGCTATGTGTATTTCTGAGAGCAGTTCAATTTATGGTTTTAGTGAAATGCGGTTAGCATTCGGGACATTATCTTTTGCATTCTCCAGGGCTTGATTTACATGGGGAGGGACATCAGCGTCCGTTGGTGGCTTTGGCAGCATAGATGTGGGAACACTTCATGGCCGGACTTTAAACACAGATGTTGGTGTCTGTCTTTCTGCTAACTAGCACCAAAGTTCTGGATGACCACCAAATCGGTGTCTTGATACTGGCACACCAAGTGTGATCGTGAACGTCGTTGAATTCCTCTAAGCAGGGGAATTCCCATATCGTGAACTCCTCTTACGAGGCAAGACTCAAGTACATGTGCTCGTGTTGTAAACCCAGTCCCAAACTCCCAAATTATCACCAGTCGTCTGTGTCCCTTCGCTTGTGCCATATTCCAACATTGTGACAGCTGTGTTGTTCGGGCAATATCCCTTCCAAGCTCCGCCTTTCAATTTCAGAAACTCTATCGGCCGTACTTCTGGAACTCCCAGTCCCTATTGTCGAGTGGGCATACTTGGCGCGCCTTGAGCCATCTGGAGATGCAGTGGAAGTGGAAGGCGTGGTTGCAAATGCCCCAGGCTACAGTGCACTCCTCGCTCGTGGCTGAAGCTTGGTTCGCCTGACATTCTATACCTGCAAGAGAAACATGTTAGCATCCGGACCGCAAATCGTGATATGATATCAGACAACAGCTTACACAAGTCCATGATGTGGTTTCGGCAGATGGCACAATTGTCGACCACTATGTCCCAGGCCCACAAGGCTACCGCATTCCACTAGAGTCGCGTCAGCTATCGTAACGTCGAGCTGCATCAAGAGCATATTCTTCCTACTTTCTTGACTTCGAAGCGCTTCTTCCCATCCTTTCCCTCTCCGTCAGCGGCGGTGCCCTTCTTCTTGGTGACGGGGGCCGCGGAGGCGGGCGCGTCGGTCGCGTCGGTCATATCAACGTCGGCCATGGTTGTTTGTCGTCGTTTTGCGAAACGGGGTCGAAGTGGTGGACAAGTTGGTGTTTTGTTTTCTGAAATCTGCGATGCGGGGGGAAAGTTTGGTCTGCCTTCGCTGGTTGTGCTGAAATCGCAGCTACCAGGCAGCGTTGGTCAGTCTCCGCTTTGGCTTGTTATTGGTGCAGGAGAGGCGGCAGAAAGGTGTTGGGCTTATTATGACATCAACCACGAACCAGAGGCAAGTAATCTCCTTGAGAATATCTTATCAAAAACTAACAACCTCTTTCCCCACGATCTAGTGAAAGACTCGTTCTTCCAAGAGCGCCTGGTAAATCCAAATCCACCAGGCAACTGCAAGTCGCAGCCGCCGTCGGGCTGAGTTGACGGCCCCGCCACAACCCCGCGCCGACTGATGTGTCAGGCTGGATAAATGCATACCAACCAGGATCATTGCATAGAGGCCCCGTATGATGCAAATCATGCAGTGCGCTAGAAACCGGGACTTTCTCTTGCCGTCTTGCAACGATGGACCCTGGCGGATACCACCCTAATAAATACATTGATCGCTTCACTGGCAGAGACGTCATGATCCAGATCATCTATCTACATTGGGCTTGAAGCAGAGGAGAATCATAACGACTTGTCATGTTGGTTTGGGCTGTTGGGCTGCCTGAACAAACACCTGAAGTGAGGCCTACCAAGCAATGCCGGGCAGAGCGAGCTTGGCAGCTGGGACAAAGACGGGAGCAAAAGTGGGCAGTTGGGGGCAGTCACAGCCACTCTCTCTGCGTTCAGCATTCCATCAGCCAAGAAATGGTCCCTCTTGGGTGGTCATCCTGTTAACCGTCGCAATGAATGATAAGGGTTTCAAGGTCTTGAGAGTTAATCTAAGCCATGTGAGCCGGGGCAGTTTGAGTTTCAACGTTTTTTTTTTGTTGTTTTTTTTTTTTGCGAGAGCCTCAAGGGAGTCTAGTAGACAATTAAACGCACAAAATGAAGGGTTTGATGGCGAGTAAGTTGGCAAGGAGCAATGCTGCTCCCTCATTGGACCTCTTGCAAGAGTGAATGCGGTTCGCGGTTACAGGAAAGGGTGCGCGGGCCAAGGGCCCGATGGAATTCAGGCCTGGCTGCCAGGTCAGCCTGCCCGATCGGCGACAGCATTAAATATGCGGTATCCTAGGGAAGCCCCAGCTGCTTGACTCCTCCCGCCTCCATCGCGATTCTCTTTCCTACCACAATAAACAAACCCCTCAAAAAACACCCCAAAAACAACATGCGCAGAGAAGCGACCGCCGAAAAATTCATCATTGCCAATTCCAGTAGTCTTACCGAGTCATCAACAAGGACCAGCGCTCCATTTGCCCTCCGATCAACCGTCACGTCGACGTTGTCGAGCAGAGTCGTTCCCCGCCCGCCCATCCCATAAATCGTCACTTGGAGCACACAAGTCACAGACCCTCTGCTCGCCGCCCGCAAACGGTCTATCTAACCTTGAGGTTATCGCTTTCTGATCGACTATAAATCCCTCTTTCCCATCTCTACCCGCGGGACTTTCTCTTACCACTATGCTGCAGCAGCAACAACGACAACCGCACGAACAACTGCGTGCTAAGCACACTCCAGGGAGACGGCGACCAAAGCGCCCGGGGAACTCTCCCGCCCTCAAAAACTATGCTTCGGAAAACGATGTGCCTAGCGATGCGTGCGCACCGGTTGACCTCGGCATTCCGCTGACGCCACAGAAATCTGTGTCAAACAGCCCTGCACCCGTCTCGTCGTCGCAAGCGCAACCCAATCAATCCGGCAAGCCCAAAGGTCGCACTGCGAACAACAAGCCGCGCCCAAAGTCAGGCCCTTCGACATCGCCTGTTCCAGCCAGGCATGGTCGCAACTCTCCTCCCGAATCGGCTCCCGCAAAGGCCGCGGGCCTCCCTGCTGCGTATGCTGGTGCAACATTTCATGCGTCGCCGGCTCCTGCTTCCCTCCCGATTCCCAGTTTTCTCGCTGCCAAGGCCTTGGATTCGCCCGGTATTAAGGACACCGGCCGCGTCAGTTCAGAGCCTTCGCCTCCTGCCACCGATACCGAGGCTTCTACCCCTCGGCAGAGGATCATGAGCGCTGAAATCACACGAGAAGAATCGCCGCTTGATTTCTTTTTTAAGGCTCACAGAGCTGAAAAGGAGAGCGAGGCCCGCAGGGCGAGCACGGCAAATATCTCGATTCCTCCATCTAGCATGTATTCGCCACCAGCCCAGCCGCAATCTCCTTTGGCCCCTAGGACAGTCCCGAACGGCATTGATGCCCGTCGTCACCAGCGACCAGTATATCAGCGGAATGGATCAAGCGGAATTTCAACTTCGGAGTTGGACGGCAACCCAAGAGCCCCCATTGGACCAGCCTTCTCGACACCTTATAACGACAGGCTTCGGGCAGCAGGACGCATCAATGAAAAGCAGGCCAACTCTCCACAGAGCACCTTTCATCAGCAGCAACAGTTCGCCCCTCCCCAACAGTCATCGCCGGCAGATGCCACAGAGAGGCTCAAACAGTATCTTGCCATTGGTTCTCAACCACCGATCAAGTTGGATTTCACCAAAGCATCATCCCAACCCAAAAATCAGGCTCCTCCCAAGCCAATCACTTTGGAGTACACCCGCTCGGGCCCGGCACCCGACATTCCCAGGCAGTACCCCGTTGCCGGGCATGCTAGACCTGAGTACAGCCGACCGGCAGACCTTGTGGACGCAGAAGATCATCTTCGTCGTGTGTTGAAGATTGACGGACTGAATCTAGGAGGAGCGCGCCTTCCAACAAATTATCAGAGCTCCTAAGTTCTGGTGCAAATCTGCAACGGAACGCCATTTCTTGGCAAGATCCTGCATTAGGGCAGGGCATCTCATCTGTTTCATTTACCTTTTCCATGTTATTGGTTTTGTTACCTCTCTCCATTCTGGGCGTTTAGGGTATTTGTTTTTCTACGACACCAGGCACGGCATGGCGATCACGATTATTTCAGGGCTTTCAGTGCGATACGGTGGCGGACTTGGTCTCCTGGGCGAAGGGGTTACGGCGGCTCGTCACAGGGTTCTGGGGTTCTTTTTACTATCATGATTCGGATATGGTCGGTCCCTTGGGAGTTGATTTTTCATTCATTTTCAGGAGCAATCGTCTGGATTTTTGGCATCATTATCTTTGATCAGAAGGAGTCACTTTGACTTTCCTTTTCCTCACCCCTTTTGATGCCGAGTTTTTGAGGCGAACAACAAACGGGTGGCTTATCAGTTGAAGAAGAAAGACGTTATAGATTTCTTTCCTATCTACGGCTAACTTCTACTACGATACACCGAGGGCGGCGAGGATGGCATTGGGACTTTCTCTTTTTAGCGATGGGTTTCTCCGGGTTTTTCTCAAACCACATTGGCAGGCGAGCATGGCGGGCATCTTTCGATTTAAGACGAGGGGTTGGGATTTGGAAAACGGATGGTTTCCCGAATGGGAACAAACGAGGCTTTGTTTGCGCCTCTTCCAAGTTCCTACCCCGCGCTTCTCGAATCTATCACGATCAACGACGACAATGTCATCATCATCATCATCATTCGCTTCTTTTGCTGTTCATCGACATACATCACCAACCCACGACGATACCACGTTGCATCCAGCCAGCAAAGCCAGCAAAGCCAGCAAAGCCAGCAAAGCCAGCAAAGCCAGCAAAGCCAGCAAGCCAGCAAAGCCAGCAAAGCCAGCAAAGCCAGCAAAGCCAGCAAAGCCAGCAAAGCCAGCAAAGCCAGCAAAGCCAGCAAAGCGAACCATCATTCAATCTTTTTTATATCTCTCTTTCCTCCTCTTCGGTTCATCGTTGTTTCATTCGAAACATGGGAGTTCACGAAAAGGGGGGCAGACGGGACCTGCCTTACCACCTGACCTCATCAGTTTTTTTTTGAGGTGAAGCACTTGGGTTGTTGTTTTTTCATCAAAATGATACCCCATTACTGCACTCAACCAACCCGGGAAATTTTTCACTGGCTTTTTTTTCTTCTTCTCTTTTTGGTCAAATGTTGGGTGGGAAACTTTGTACTTATTTTGCTGACTCTTTTTTTTTTTTGCTTTTGTGGTTAAAGGGAGTTTTGCTTGGGGGGAGATTAGGTTTCTCTGTCCTGTTTACTACTAATACAGGTGGTGGTTGGCGGCGAGGGTGGGAATTGCTGCTGTTGTTTTTTTCCAGGAGTGTGTAGGGGAGGGGGGTGTTTAAGGCACCAAGCGGCGGGGTGTCTTTCAAATTAGGGTTGAGGGTGGGAATGAACGATGACTGGGAGGAATGGGACAGGAACTCGATGGGGAAGATGGTATGGATGGTTGAGTGGATAGGTGGTGGGTGTAGGGTGGAGGAGTTGCGGTGGTGATGATGATGATGATTTTGGATGGCACTTTTGCTCTCTGCCGAGGGTGAGAAGACTTGGCGGGCCTTATGGGTGAGGATAGTTGAACGATGGACGATGGCCAGATGTGGGATATGGTGTAGCTTTATGGGGAGGGGTTATAGGGGTCTGCACAAGAGTAGGTGGTGGAGATGATGAAGAAGTGGGTGAGTGAACGAGCAAGAAGAGGCAGAAGAAGGGGAATGGCCAGGGAGGTGTGCAGAGATGGGGAGTGAAGAAGATCCGCAAGATGACGGGGGGGCAGGATGGCAAGGGGTACGGACACACACAAAAAACGAACGACTAACCGATCTCTCTCGAATATGGTTATTCTATCACACGATTACCTCGCGCTTTTCATGGGCAAATGCAACGTCCTCGCTGATCAAGCGGAAACTCTTGGGGGAGGGTGGGTGGGGGAGAAGAGAAAACAAAAGAAAGAAAAAACTTTTTGGGAGGGAAATATATGGTGGGAGGATAACGCATGGACAAGAGAACCAGTTATTAGCAGACATAGTTTCGTGAAATGTCAGCAGCCATCATATTTTTTCCGCTATTTTTGGTGTTTTCCGAAGGGGAGGAGGAACTGTGATGTGATTTGTGAGACTGAAGTTATCTTGTGTAATTGGGTCATGAACACAGCGCGCGAACACGGCATTAGATTACATGAGGGTTTGTTACTCAATCTGGATGGTTCTGAGAGAATGAATGGCTATGAAGCAAAGATTTTGGATGTTGTAGCCGGGGGAGCCGGTCCCTATGACCTGGTAAGTACCCGACCTTGCCCCACGGGGGTACGAGCTTTGCGGCCCGCAGCCAGGGGACGGGTGATACTCCTCTGGAGGTTTTTGGGATGGGATACAAGGCAGCTAGAATTTTTTCAAGACATGTGTGTGTGTGTGTGTGTGTGTGTGTGTGTGTGTGTGTGTGTGTGTGTGTGTCTCACTCATTATATCCGAGGTGCTTGCCTTTTGGAGTCTCATGGCCGGAAGCGGACCCTGTTTGATTCACATCTTGACCCCCCTCCCTGAGAGAAGAAATGGCCCGCGTTGCCCCGAAGGTTGTGCTGGCCGCCGAACAGCGGTACAATTCCACCCGCCGACTTCGGAAGGCGGGGTCGGGGGATTGGAATTGGCGATCAAGCTTTGGGGAGTTCCAAGTCAAAAGGGGGCTGCTCGAACATCAGCCTGCTTTGGGATGATTTTTCCTCTGAAAGTTTTATTTTATCTATTTTTGTTGTTTGGGTCTGTTGACAGTTGATTCAACCCAATCTACGTCATAGCTGTTCTTGGCCTCTCTATACACCTTTTTTTTGCTGCGCCCAAACCCCCGACGTTATCCGACCCCGCTTCTTTTTCCCAGCTTTGAAAGTTTAAGGAAGAGTAAAAATGGCGACTCACAATATTGTTGTTTTTGGGGGTGATCACTGCGGTCCGGAGGTATGGTTTTGATTTTGGAAGGGAGAAGGGAGTGGATGACTTGCTGACGAGGGGAAATAGGTTGTTGCCGAGGCTGTCAAGGTCCTCAAGGCGATTGAGACAAATGTGCCGAGCGCGGGCAAGTTTAACTTGCAGGAGCACTTGTTGGGTGGTGTAAGTTATTTTTCTCTTGCTTCTTGAGGCTAAAGGGGGGTTGGAAAGGGGAGTAGTGCGGTGTAAGGGAGAGCTCCGCGGTGAGTTCAAGTGAAGTTGTCAAGAGCTCGAGGCTTGAGGTTGAAGCTGGCGGAAAGATAGGGTGGGGAGTTGTTATGCGTTCAAACGCTGTGCCAGGAGGATGACCCAGGAGCGCAATCCTGGGAGCTTTCAAGCTATCACCATTGCGAGAGTCATAGCTCCAGCCAGCTAATCCACTTCCCTCCAGGCCTCCATCACCGCCCACAACAGCGCCCTGACCGACGAAGCCCTCGCCGCCGCCAAGGCCGCCGATGCCATCCTCCTCGGCGCCATCGGTGGTCCCGAATGGGGCCCTTCCTCCCCCGTCCGTCCCGAAGAGGGTATCCTCAAGCTCCGCAAGGAGCTCGGCACCTACGGCAACCTCCGCCCATGCAACTTCGCCTCCGAGTCCCTCGTCGATTCCTCCCCTCTCAAAGCCGAGGTCTGCCGCGGCACTGACTTCATCGTCGTCCGTGAGTTGACCGGCGGTATCTACTTTGGTGACCGCAAGGAGGACGACGGTTCCGGTTTCGCCATGGACACCGAGCCCTACTCCCGCCCCGAGATTGAGCGCATCGCCCGTCTGGCTGGTTTCTTGGCTCTGGGCCAGAACCCCCCGGCCAAGGTCTGGAGTTTGGACAAGGCCAACGTTTTGGCCACGAGCAGACTGTGGAGAAAGGTTGTGACGGAGGTGTTTGAGAAGGAGTTCCCTCAGCTGTCGGTGAACCACCAGCTGATTGACTCTGCGGCTATGTTGATGGTCAAGAACCCGAGGGCGCTGAACGGTGTGGTGATCACCAGCAACTTGTTTGGTGATATTATTAGCGATGAGGCGTCGGTTATTCCGGGGTCGATTGGGCTTTTGCCTAGTGCTTCGTTGGGTGGTATTCCTGATGGGAAGGGCAAGTGCAATGGTATTTATGAGCCTATTCACGGTAAGTTCTCTTCGTTCCTCCTTTTTATGTCGCTGCTTGCTGACGAGTGCCTTGTTAGGCTCTGCTCCCGACATCTCTGGCAAGGGCATTGTCAACCCCGTTGGCACCATCCTCTCCGTTGCCATGATGCTCAAGTACTCTCTCAACCTGCCCAAGGAGGCTGCTGCTGTTGAGGCTGCTGTTAAGCTGGCTATCGACAACGGTGTCCGCACCAAGGATCTGGGTGGCTCGGCTAGCACAACTGACATGGGTGATGCCGTTGTTGCTGAGCTCGTCAAACTCCTCAAGGCTTAGAGAGCTCATAGGATAAAAATGAAGTAAAATAATGAAAATCCATCCTCAGAAACCAGTCAGCAGTCCATCGGTCGTGTATGCTGCCATTGTATATCTGGCTAACAAAAGGGGCTCTCAACAGCCAGGTATGCCCCCAATATCGGGAAACCAGCCTACCTCTCGAGTACACTCACT